AAATGTTTTGGGGCTGGGGAGACAGCTCAGTGGCTTAAGCGCCTGCCTGGCAAGCACAAGGTCCTGAGTTCAACCCCTGGTACCAAAAAAATTTAAAAAGTTTTGGGCCAGCCAGATAGCTCATCAGACTAAAGCGCCTGCAGGTACCTGGGTTTGATCCCCTGCATGCCATACTGGCCCCGTCTTCAGGGCAGGCTGAGATGGCGATTTGAGATTGAGTATGGTGGCGCGAGACTAAAAATAGGAGGATCACTATGAGTCTGATCTGTGTAGTGAGACCCTGTACTAAATACATTTTTTAAAAAATCTTTTACATATTGGGGCCAAGGAGATAGCTCAGTGACATAAGCATCTGCCTGGCAAGCTCAAGGTCTTAAGTTCGATCCCCGGTACCACAAAAACAAAGTTTTGTTTATGTACTTGGTACAGGGCCTCGCTACACCGCTTGCACTCGCAGTGACCTCCTGTCTCAGCCTCCTCAGCCCTGGGATTACAGGTGCGCGCTACCACGCCCAGTTTGGGTGGTCTGCCAGGGCTGTCAGAGTCCGTGCTGCTGAGGATGGAACCCGGGTCCTTGCGCTCAGACCGCCGAGCTCTCTCCCCAGCCCTAGGTCCACATGGCGCATGCATAGCCGGGGTCACAAAGTATGAAGTTGTGTGTCCTTGTGCGTAAAATATGCCTCAGTAAACTTCATTTCAAAGGTCTCTTTCTACGTCACTGATGGAGGGCAGTCTTGTCCAGGCAGAGGGAGAGCCCGTCGCTCCCCAACCAAAGATATACCAATACCAAGGACTACTTGGAAAATCTTGCACTGCATCGTGCTGTGCCCCACCCCCCTTCCTTGGGCAAACGAAGACAGCCAGACCAGAACCTGCGGGCTCGGAGACAGGAAGCCGGGCGACACCGCCGCTCCGTCCTGCAGGGGGCGGGCGCCTGCCACCCCCGGACCCCACTTGGCAGCATCCCTCGCGCCCATTGGCCGAGCGCGGGCCGTCGGGCCAATGGGAAGAGGCGTTGTTACGCGCAGCGTCGCGGCTTCCGGCGGTTGCGGCGGCCGGGGCGCTAGCAGCTTGAGTCCAAGTCCGGGCCGAGATGCCGCAGTATCAGACCTGGGAGGAGTTCAGCCGCGCGGCCGAGAAGCTCTACCTCGCGGACCCGATGAGGG